TAAAAAAAAATCATATGGTTTACTATGCCGGGAATAAAACAATCAAAGGAATGGCTTTGTATTTATTGTTCAAAAGGTCATTTCAAGTTCTATCTCGAAGTACAAGATTGTTTGTGATAAGATTATATCTATCCTAATTCACAAAGATCCAATTAATACAACTATTATTCAAATTTGTACAACTACCATCAAAGCTAATGATGATGGTTGAAGAATTCTATGAATGTCTTTAGTCTGAAATTGATGTAATCAAGATGCATTGTTAATATTGGCAACTGGAATGAAAAAGTGAGAAACAAAGTGGAAGGAACAGTAGTTGGAAAATACGGCTTTGGTGATAGAAATAAAGCTGGAGATCACATTACAGAATTCTGCAAGACCAATGACTTCTTCACTGTTCCAACAATATGAAACACACGTGGACTTCTCCAGATGGGATACACAAAACTTAAGTCAACTACCTCTGTGGGGAGAGATGAGAGAGAAGCGAAGTATCAGCAGCTCATGCCAAGCCAGAGGCTGACTATGGAACAGACAGTCAACTGCCCACGTGTAAGTTGAGGATGAAACTGAAGAAAATAAGAACAAGTCCCTGAGCCAAAATATGACTTTGAGTCTCTTGTACCTGAATGTTGAGAACATCTAAAGAACAGATGTGCTGCACTGAACACTAGTGACAGAAGACCAAAAGAGCTGTGGGATGACATCAAGAATATTTTATATGAAGAATGCAAAAGATCATTAAAAAGGCAGGAAAGAAAGAAAAAGTCAGTGTGGATGTCAGAAGAGACTCTGAAACTTGCACTTAATTACAGTGTAGCTAATGCACGTGGAAGAAATGATAGTTAAAGAGCTGAACAGAAAAGTTCAAAGGTCAGCTCAAGAAGACAAAGTAAAATATTATAAACAAATGTGCAAAGACCTGGAGTTAGAAAACCAAAATGGAAGAAAACACTTAGCATACCTGAAATTTAAAAGAAAAAAATTATATATATATATTTATATAGATATAAGAAATAAACAAAATTGAGCAAATAATCAAAGAAGCTGGCTTATGTGAAGAAGAATGCGGCATCAGAATGGGAAGAAGGCTTATTAACAACCTGCGATATGCAGATGACATAACCTTGCTTCCGGAATGTGAGGAGGGCTTGAAGTTCTTGCTAATGAGCATCAAGGAATACAGCCTTCAATATGGACTACAACTCAATATACAGAAAACCAAAATCCTTACAACTGAACCAGTAGGTAACATCAGAATACACTGAAAAAGGATGAAATTTGTAGAGGATTTTGTCCTGCCTGGATCCACAATCAATGCTCATGGGAGCAGCAGTCAAAAGATCAAATGACAATTGCATTGGATAAATATGCTGTGCAAGACCTCTTTAAAGTGTTGGAAGGCAAGGAAGTTACTTTGACAGCAAAGGTGTGCAACAGTAATTGTCTAATATGCATGCGAGAGCTGGATGATGGGGACCAGAAAAGAACGGATACAATCGTAGTGCTGGAGAATACTGAAATGCCGAAAGAACAAATCTGTCTTGGAAGAAGTACCACCAGAATGCTCTGTAGAGGCAAGGATAGAGATCTCATCTCACACAGTTTGGACCTGTTGTTAGGGGAGACCAGTCCATGGAAAAGCACACCATGTTTGGTAGAGGGCCATGAAAAAGGAAGACCCCTGGGAAGATGGATTCCTGTGGTGGCTGCGAGGATGGGCTGAAACACAAGAAGAGTTGGCACATGATTGGGCAGTGTTTGGTTCTGTTGTACATAGGGCTGCTATGATTTGGAACCAAGTCGACAGCACTTGACAACATGTACCCGAAGAAATGTTTGAGATATTCCAGGAAACATAAAGCTGTAAACATTGACAAATGACACACACAAACTTTGGAACTATATGTTAGGGTTTCATTTCCTTTTAGTCTCTGATAAAATAATTTTATTCAGTTGCTTTTCTCTCCAACCTTGAGCTTTCTAGAAATTGCTTCAGATCAGCACAGGTTTCTATCTATTTTTTGCTTTTCACACCATAGTGATTTAGTTGCATCCTCCCAAAATGCCATCCTACACTAATTAGTTCTCTGTTATTCAAAATCTAGCAATGATCACATTGCTTCCTTTATTGTCAATAAAGCAATTTATTTATTTTGACTCTGTAGAATAAAGCCAAAACTGACGGCAACAGGACGGATTCTGACTCACAGCAGCCCTTTACAGGGTATCCAAGGCGGTCAATCTTTACAAGGGCAGACAGCCTCATCTTTCTCTCCCTTTCAGCTAGCAATCCACTGCTTATCTGACAGTGCCATCAAGGCACCTGTCAGTTTATATTTATTTTCCCATTATGAATAACACATGATTTTACAAACTAAGTAAATTCTGAATTTTATAACAGGGATAATGGAGGCTTCAAAAAATATCCTTGATCACCTTTCTCAGCATTTTCTATAGTATAACGGGCCCCCTGACCACTGTGAATCTTCTGTTTTGCACGATAACCTCCTTATAACCCAAGTTAGAACCTAATGGACATTTCTCTCTCTCTCTCAACACTTTTCAATAGTCTTGATCTGATCATTAAGTAATTAGGTGAATAGATTCTTTACGTCCTTGGGAGATGAAGATAGGTGTAACGCAAGGATTGTTAGCTCACTGTTCAGAAATATAAAACCTTAACAAGAATGGCATCGTTTGGTAATCAGTTATAATTTCTAATATTGTTTCTGTTTTCAAACAATCAGAGGTAAAAACACAGTGTGTCCAAGGTATACTTATCCATCATAACAATAGCAATAGGTTATACATAAAACAAGAATGCTTCATTTAGTTCCTTTTAAAACAAGATTTTCATAGCTCTCATCAACTGATAATAAAGATTGTAGCTCCATTTGCTGATCCACGCAACCTCTGATATATGTTGTCAATCTCAAAATGAATTCTACAGCATTTAAAATCTGTTACATTTTTTTTTTAGTTTTAAAGGTTTTCACTGATAATTTTCCCCAAATATAAGAGATTTTTTTTTTTTTTTTTAAAAGAGGCATCACCAGTAATGGGAAGTTAATGATCTCCATCAAATCTTAAAAGAAGCACACATAAAAATAACAAAGTGTGTCTAAAAAAATGATTTTACATAGACCACATAGACTGCAATCTAATACAAACCTTTCATCCTCGAAATTGAAACATGAGTCAAGTATCTATGCTTAGATTAAAATTTCTGTATAAAGTTAGCAAAATATTAGGTATACTGTTAATGATCTATAAGTTACAAAAAAATGTTCTTAAAATGTATGAAATCAAAATAGAAAGAACCATTCAGAAAAAAGTTTAGCCTAATAAGACGGCTTCCATGAGTCACTGTCACCTAAAATAACCCAGCAAAAGTTCTTTATGATTTCAGCCAGCATATTTGGTAAGGGGTCACATCTGAGCAATCTGAAAGAACTCAAATTTTAAGTCTTGTTAACTAAATGACTTTTTGCTTCATTCATTCATGATAACTTTTTTTTTAATGCCTCCTCTGGACGAAGCTTTATATGAAGAGTATATACAAAATGGAAAATTAAACATGAAAAACAAAAATAAAAAACCAGTTATTTTGATTAAGAGAAAAAAATACAGGATATTTCTTATCATTTGTCTTATAACCTATAACCTCCTTAAGGAAAGAGAAAAACATTTTCCTCCCCTAAATAGACTGCTACTAAAATTTTTGTCTCATATTTAAGATGTACTGTGTTTCCTACTTTCCCATTATAGCAACTTTGCTAACACAGAATTAATGTGATTTTAACAATAACAAAAATGGGATGGACATAAAACTGTAAGGATGCATATTTTCTATATTTCAACAAGGGCAGAACACACCATTTTATTGCTGTAATATATGTATGTGCGTGTATCACATATATGTCACATTTCCCAATTGAACATTTTTTGCATGTATATAGTATTATTTAAAAAATACTATTTAAACTTTTTATATTAAAAACATTCCTGGTGAAAGTAAAAGTCATAAAAATTACAAAAGGGAAAACGTGATTATGAAAAGGATTTTTCATGTGACGTGAAAAATGGAGAAGGAAAACAAAAGGTGTGCACTATAGAAATAAAAATCCCAAGCATGTTATTAACATAAAAAGTCTAAAAGCAATCTAAATCAGACACCTTCTCATCACAGAGGAGCACTACTATGAATCTCAAAATGTGTCTGAAAAATGTAGGTCTGTAGATGGAGGTTGAAAATAACTTGGGAGTATTTTGATCACTTACTCAGGCCTTTTGATCCCATGTCGTCAGGGATCTCCTGTAGAGAGTAGTCCCCAGAGAGCAAGCAATAAAAAGATAATCAAAGAAAATAATTGTCAGTAATATATAAAATTGTTGCTACAATAAGAGACAGTTCCAAGACCATTGCAGGTGCACACATCTTAAGAATGTTTTTGTATATTTCTGAAAGTTCAAAATAAGCTAGTAGCTAATGTAATCTGTCACAAGAATGAGTTTCCTTTTATTATATAGGCTGATTATGGTAGATAAGTCAAATTTGAAACTATTTGTTGCTATTTTAGAGTAAATTCAGAGTGAAAAAAATAGGATATAATGGAATGATTCCAGATGATCTAGTATCAAAAGAAGGCAATGCTATACCTAGAAATTATAAGCAGTTTCTCAGGTGTCCATGTCTGTACTCTCTAAGATATTCCTTGAGAGGGTTAATGTCAATCATTTCTCATGAGTCTTCACATCAAAGAGTTCTATTTTAAACACATAACTTAAAAGTACTGTCTACCTTAAGAATTTCTAAGGTGCCAGAAATAGTTAAGAGTGTCATACAAATTAATTCATGCCTTTCAGGTTATCCCTTGTTAAGAGAATCAGTAACCTGTTGCAGCTCTTGAAACTGTCTCCATGGTAACAACCAACTGCAGGGCAGTAGGTCCCTCTACATTCATTTTCAGTATGCATCACTGGATCCACATACTTACGGTCAGCATCACTTGTTTCCTGCTCACTCTGGTCCTTGTTCTTGTAGAAGGGAAATTTTCGGGTAAAGAGGTTCTTTTTACGCTTGTCATTGAATGACTGCTGAAGAAGAGAAGGAGGGGCAAAACAAAGGGATGTCTACTGTCTTTGTGTACAAAGGCCCAGTCTAGCAGCTCTGCGGAAGCTGACTCCTGTGACCACAGTGTGCAGTTTATACATGTGAATTTTACTTTAATCATGTGTAAAGTGAATTTTTCATTTTTGTATAAACGTCTCTAACATTTTACAATGGAAAATATTTATTGTTAAAGAGTATAAGTTATACCCCAAAATAAGGGCTGACTGCTACTTGACAAAAGGCATATGTATGTAGGTAAATATGACTTGTAATTGCTGTAATGTGTACACCATGTTAACATACCTAAAAATATTTAGGTATGAAGTATTCTACACTCACTGCCATCGAGTGGACACTGACACCAAGTGATCCTATGGGATAGGGTAGAACTGCCCTGTGGGTTTCGCAGACTGCTAACTCTTTACAGCAGGAGAAAGCCCACTCTTGAAGAGTGGCTAGTGACAACTTTCTGGTTAGAAGCCCAATGTGTAACCACACCACCATCAGGTACTCTATAGGAAAAGCTATTTTAAATGTTTCTCCAGCTGCTCAAGATTTATTTTATACGTTGAGTAGCAATCTTCATTTTCATTTGATTTGCACAATTCTTTCCCTTTTGCATGTGGGTCTAATAAATTAGCAAAAAAGCCACCATTAATAAAGAAAATAACACAATTATGAGAAAATTACCAGTGCTGAATATTTAAAAACAATCTGATTCATGAAAAACATGTAACTATATGTTTATAGCATAAATGAAAAAATGAGAAGAAAACTGGGAGTCAGCAATAGATTTATCAATGCTAGCTAAGCTAAGACACAGAAGTCAGGACTCTCCTGGACAAGCTGAATGCACCCACAACCACAACTGAGTATCTGTCTGTTAGTGCCACTGCATTTCTGTGCCTGATACAGCCATCTCCTTATAGCCATTAAGGAACCCTGGTGGTGTAACAGATTATGCATAAGGCTGCTAACTGGAAGGTCTGCACTTCAAGACCACCAGCCACTCTACGAGACAAAGATTTATAGCTTCAGAAACCCACGGCAGTTCTACTCTGCCCTGTAGGATTGATGCAAGTCAGAATTGACTTGATTTTATAGTAGTGAGTTTGGTTTTGGAGTTTTGTATCCAATGGTATCATGTCTCTAGATAGAGAATAAAAAGTTTGATGTTCATAGAAGCCACAAAGGCAGATTCTAATAGTTTACAATAATTGCTGTATGAAGTAGACAATTGATTTGATGTTCTTTAACTGCACAGATGTTGGACACAAGTTTCTTCCCTTTTGACTGTCCTATTTGTGTATACACAGATTTAAGAATATGAAACCCCAAAAATGATGAAACTATTAAAGAGAATAGCTTCCATTTTAATTCTTCTCTGTCAAAGGGACTTAAGTCTTGAATGAAAAGATCTAACCTGCCAGAAACACTGGGAATTATTATTATTATTTTTCTGGATGAGGAAATGACATAAAAGCAATGTGATTTGACTTTTTTCATTTATTCACATCATACTATTTTGGAACATTTTATTACTACTTTGATACAAAATATATTATACGGTGTATTTCAGGTGTGCCCATATTTTACAGCATGTGATCCTAAGTTGACTTCAAGTTCAAATTCAATGACATTTAAAAAATTTTGGCAATGATCTTTTAAAAACAAAACTAAATCTATTTTTACTTTTTCACATCAATAATTCAGGATTAAAAAAATTATAGTTCACTAGTTAAGCAGAAAGAATCTCTTGATTTCAATCTTAAAATTTTAAGGCTTGAGGGAACTAGATAAACAAGAACTCCAAGCAAAATTACAAAATTCAGTTGACGGGGGAAAAAAACAAACTGTGGAGTAATTTAGACATATGATTGTTTCATAAAATGTCAAGTAGCATTATTTCAACAGAAAATTTTGCTTGGACCCAAATTTTAGAAAGTGAAAAGAGAAGAATATGACTTTCATTAGAGAAAATTTTATGGTAATCTGCTTTAGGAATGAACTGAGTCTTTGTATTCATGATGATCACTGTTTTTAAAAATTATGTGATAAACATCATGGTATCGGATAAAATTGTTAACTTTGTATAAGAGATATTTACCCCTCCTACTGCATGTAAGTGGTCAGAGTCAGTTTCACACCAAACAACCAAAAGAAACAGTTTTAAATGTTTTGAGTTTTGAAATCTTTGAAGTTAGCCAAAATGAGATATCATAAAGATATCATAATGTAGGAGCGACAGAAAGAACTGCTTGTTAGTTAAGAAATGTATTAATTGTATTATACTTAACATCTTCCAGGTGAAGAATTATTGAAAGTGAAAATAGCAAAAGCAACTAAGTTAAAAACACAAACTGAGGAGCCATGCTACCTTCAGTTTCTAGATATGTTAAAAAAACAAACAAACCCCAAACGTATATTTAATTACTTCTTGTCACAATGCAGTATTGCAAGACAGACACAGTGTAATAAATATACTGATAAATGATCACAAATTCATGATACAAAGATTAAATATCAAAATATGTAAGTTCACGTTAGCATTTCAAAGTAGTCAAATGTTAAAAATTAATGAGAAAATGAAATGTAAGTTTGCGGTAGAAGTCAAGTCCACAAACTACCAGATAAAGAAAAGCAGAAGGGAAATGGTATTTCAGAAAGAAATGCAGTCCTATATCAATGGCAAGCGTATTTTTACCCCACTAAGGATCATGCATACTTTGGGTGCTGTGTTAGAACACAGTGACTGTATAAATAGTTGATTACAGTCAAAAAACAAGACTTTAAGATTTAAATATGTCGTTAATTCAGTTAACTTCTTAGGTATTAAAGAAAAGTTATAACATGCAACCTTCTTTTCATTTTATTGACAGCGATAGTTTGCTCAATTATTTTTAAAGGCCTACACAAAACAAGCACAAGAAGCACTGTGCATATTCCAAATTCTGAGCGTTTAACTTGGAATTATTTCTCCAATCAAGATTCTGTTTTAAATACTATATTTTATTTTGTAATTTTTAAAAAGCTACAATTATTTTTAAAAGAAATTATCATTTTGAATTAATTATATTATACAAATTCATTACTCAGATTTAATTTCTCTAATCAAGCATCTTATTTTTAGCATTCAGATTCTAAGGCTTTAATTTAAATACTTAGTGATATCAGATATGTACAAAGAGTAGAGTTAATTTGCCAACTTAACGTGATTAAAAGACTTGTAATAAAAATATACTCCTCCGAACAAATACCATTATTGTGAATAGCATTTCAACAAAATATATGTTCAGGTCTTTATATATGCTTATTGCTAAAATATTCTATTGCAGTAAATTCAGGCTAACTAGAATATATGCACATGGTACAAGACGAAACACTGAATTATCTTTTTTGTCTACTGATACTTCAAAATTTTTAGATCCATGACAATTTAATTTAAAACTAACACGTCTAAAATATATATTAAAGAATTTTGATAGATTTCTTGACAATTTATACACCTGCTTCTCTCAACTGCCCCTCCCTCTCCTTACTCCTCTCCAAATAAAAATTATATTGATTGAATAATTTAAAACTTGTCCAAATTTTATAAAGCATAAAGAAAATTTTCATGAATTTACTTGCAACAACTTATACACATGTATGTTATGAATTAGGTTAACTTTTTAGGGTCAGAAAATTCATTGTTAAATTAACTATCATGATTAATAACTGGTAACCGAACATCTGAATAAAGACGGAATTAATCGACTACAAATGTAACCTTGACCAAAAATAGGTAACTAAGAATATATCAAATGGCTGTTCTGATAATTTGCAAAGATCTGTGAAGCAGGTGGTTTAAAATGCTTAACGCAACGTCTGTTATTGCAAGGCACCAAGAAAGAGTTGTTTTAAGTAAATTTAAGAAAATCCTCACTTCAATAATAATATGTCTCAACTAAGAACTATGAAAAAAAATCTCGTGCCCAAACATTAATTTCCAGATAAGAGATTTTATATACTCACCCCTTTATCTCTTGTTTTAGAATTGAATTTCACTGTTTTTAATCGGGCTCGTTCTTTCTTCTCAACCCTGTTAAAGTACAGATTATAACTTTTTAAAGTATATCAAACATATATAGATGTCTTACTGGAAATGACCAGGACTAATACCTTATACTAAACATTTTTGCATTCTAACACCTTTAGGAACCAATTAAGTTTGCACCTGAAAATTAAATAGAATTTTTGAGAAATGAAATATAGGGTTCAATAGTAATATGCAAGGAAGCTTGAAAAGCTTAAGGAAAAATCCCAGTATCTTACTTATTTATTTAAATTAATCATTCTATTGGGGGATCTTACAGCTCTTTTAACAATCCATACATCAGTTTTATTAATCACATTGGTACATATGTTGCCACCATCAATTTCAAAACATTTTCTTGAGCCCTTGGTATCACCTCCTCTTTTTTTCCCTCCCTCCCTAAGCTTCCCACCCCTGTGAAGCATTGATAAATTATAAATTATTATTATCTTCATATCTTATACCTTCTGCTGTCTCCCTTCACCAATGTTTCTGATGCTCATTCCCATGGGAGCAGGCGAGGGCAGAAGGTGTTATATACTGATCATAGCAATTGGTTCCCTCTCTCTCCCACCTTCACCCTATCCTCATGGTATCATTACTCCTATTATTGTTCCTGAGGAGTTTACCTGTCCTGGATTCCACGTGTTGAGAGCTCTTATCTGTACCAACTGGGGTCATGATAGTGGGGGGAGGAAGCATGAAAGAACTAGAGGTAAAAATCCAGGATCTTTTAATCCCATTTTCCCACAAACTTTTTAAAGTCCCCTTATGTGTGTTTTTATATGTAAATTAATTCCACATATATACTGAAACTACATAAGGCACTGTTTTTGAGTTTAGCAATATCCAATTTTCTTTTTGCTCCTTAAAAACAAAACAAAACAAAACAAAAACACATTCAGGTAGCAAAGAACAAATACCGTATATACTCGTGTATAAGCTGAGTTTTCCAGCACATTTTTAATGCAGTTTTTGTGGTACAGTTTGGTGTCTCCGCTGATATTCGGGTCAGCTTATACTCGGATATATGCAGTAGATTCACATATACTAAAAATTCAGCTCATGAGAAAGAAATTAAATGCGGCAAAATGTTAACAACTGTTGAAAACAGGTGAAGGTTATGTGGGTGGCACTATTCTTGCTAATTTTTTGTCATTTTTCTATACACCTGAAAGTTTTAAAAATAAAAAAGGTGGGGGATTGAAGCAAAGTCAAGCTTAACTTCAATGATATATATGTATAAATATACAAACTAGCAACTAGTTCTATAATAAAATAGTTATAGAATTAAAATTTTTGAAGTATTTTTGTTTTTTAAAAGCTGATGATCTGGTTTACAGCACCCTGGAGTCTCTGGGTGATGCAAATGTTAACACATCCTTGGCCATGAGCTAAATACTGGAGATTGAGGCTCACCCAGAGGTACCTTGGGAAAAAGGTTCTGATCATCTATTTCTAAAACAAAGCAGTCACGGAAAACCACATAGAGCACACTTCTACTCTGACACAGATGGGCTACCATGCAATGTAGTTGACTGTGGTAACTATTAAGCCGCCCCCCCCATTCTTTTGATTTCTAAAGTGTGTTCACTTTTTTCAATCAAAATAAGCACACAAGCAAACAAAACTATAGTGAAACAAATGTTTCATGTGGACTGTAACACCAATTTAATATTGTAACACTAATTTTAATACAGTAAAATAGTGAATTATTTAATATGGTCCTTCTAGCCATAGTCCTTATTGCTCCCACCAAATGACTGGGTGGGTGTTTGTGGCCCACCAAGGGAACTGGACAGTTTGCTAATAATGCAAATAAAGTGTATGGTATGTTGTGAGATCATATAAATAGATGTATGGAACTCTTGTAACAAAAGGAAAGTCAGTTTTGCCATTCCACTAAGTTGAAAATAAGCCATCACAGAGCTAGTGTGTGTCCTTAAACACTAGGACTCTGAGAACTTATTAGGCCCAGGAAATAGAGTTGTAACACAAGAGTATTAGAGATATAATGACATGAGAAAAAGCATCAGAGAAATACTGGCAACATGGGTAGATAGTGCAGTGGGCCTTCCTGGCCCATGGAGTAAGAAAGTTAAGTTCTGTCAGTCACGAGCCTTGCTGGTGAAGTAGAATGCCTCAAGGTACTTGAAAAACTAAGCTAGAAGACCATAGAGTGAGAACTCACCCCACAAGGTTTACTGGTGAAGTGGGGTACCTTTGGGTACTTAATGGCAGAGTTAAAGAGCTCTTTAACACTTGACTGAGCAGAGCAGAGGCTGGGGTGGCTATAAGTCTGAGGGGCTGAGAGGTCTGGGGCCAGGGAGAGGCCTGCCTGTATGCAAGACTGAGAAGAGGCTATCCTGACCCAAGAACTGTATCCAGAGTTTCTCCTGATCCTGAATTTTAACTTATCTCCTAATAAACTCTTGTGAGTATGTTTTGTATGACCACTGCAATGAATGCTCAAACCCAGCATAGAAGTAGTGAGTGTTATGGAAGAGATGGTTCAGTCATAATTGGAAAAAGGTCGGCAGGTGGTGGCATGCCTGACTCTACCTCATTGTAGTCGGTCTCAGAAGGTTGATACTGATGATGGTGATCCTGCTACACTCCTCTTGTGAAGTCAGAGGAGGTTGGATGTCACCCTTACATTATTTTGACATATATCTTAAGATTTCAACATGGTAATTATTTTAGCACAAAGTAGAAAAATCTGCTAAAACAGACTATGAATGAATGCATTTAATTTTTTCTCTTATTATCTAGCTGTATAGTATTACTATGCGTATGAAAGACCCTTAGTATTCATGGATTTATAGGCAACATTTTTCACTGCTCAAGAGCAATTCTGGGGGCTCATATATGAATAACATATAATTTTGCCTACACACTTATTGAGGGAACCATAAACCTAGTGTTTAGTGAGCATTTATAACTCCAAGTGACTCTGTTTTCTAATCATTATCTTCAATTAATAGTTAAATAACTTACAAACATAACCTTCCTTTCCACTAAAGAAAAAGTTAAGAAAAAAAATTAGCAGCATTTCTCATGTTGCAGACATACAAAGTTCATATATGGTTCAAATGAGAAAGTGATTTTTATGAGCTCTGACCTGATCTTTAAGATGTGGGATTTTTTTTATGGACTAAATAAGAAGTCTTTCTGAATTTAAAGTAGTCCATGTTCTATTCCTTTCTCCTTGAAGCTAGAAGCCCAAGATGTACATCACTACACCATTAGGGCTCATGTTCTATTCCAGACAAGAAGTTATACTGAGGGCTGCAGTGCTTAAAGATTTGCTATCAAAATTGGATACAGTTAAATATCTGGATCTGGTCAAATATCTGGATCTAATCAACAATAATACACTAACCAACCAACACATTGCTATCGAGTCAATTCTGACTCATGGCGCCCCTACAGGGCCGGGCAGAGCTGTCCCTGTGGGTTTCCGTAAGGGAATAGAAAGCCTCATCTTTCTTCCACAACCATAATCATAACCTTAAAATTCTTATATGAATCTTGGTGGTTGTTAGCAGCTGTGAGATTAGTTCCTGATTCATGGCAACCTGACCTTATGCACAATGAAGGAAATGTCTGCAACAATCCTATAGACAACAGGGTAGAAATGCCCCGTGAGTCTGAGACTTTAACCCTTTAAAGGTAACTGCTGTGCCATCAGGACTCCTTAAAGAACAGCAATTATTTGCTGATGTTGCCCAAATGTCAAATGGAAAGACTATAAAAGACTTAGAGATTTACCTTCGTTTACTGGGAATCACTCCAACTTCATCACTCTCTCCGTCTGATGTAACCTGTCTGGCTTGCCACCATTCATCATCAGAAGCATTAATAACATGGAGGATGTCTCCAAATTTGAAGTTCAATCCCTGACTGGGAAGTCCACTGTCTTTAGTCTTGTCATAATCAAAAAGCGCTCTAGATTCAGAAGAATAAAAATCTACAATTATTATTTACAATGGTATTAGATGATAGTAAGTAAAGATAAGATTCTAGATATATATAATATAGATTATTAAGCTAAGAGAGTAGGGCAGACAAAGTAACATCAAGTTCAATTTTGAGCTGTATACAAGAGGAGAATGAGAGAAAATAGCAAAAGTAACATTATTTTTGTTACTGGATTACTATGACCTTATTGCTTCACTTTTAAGAGAACAATAATAATGGCATTTTACTCAAAAAATCTAGATAATTGCTCTAAGATTAATACATAAAAAATAAATATTAAGAGAAACCCTTTTCTTTGCTATGACTAGCCATGCATGGGAAAACAAATTCCCTGGTAAATCTAATTAATTATCTGCCAGCTAATTATTTCTCTCCATTTGTTCACAAAAGTAGATTTAATAGAATTTTCAGAGCCAATAACAATGAAAACTAACTACAATGACTTTATCGGCTGTCAATCATTTTGGAACAATGACTCTATATGAGTTTAATATGGGAATTGCTGTTTATGGGAATATATTAAAATTTGTTAAAAATAGAATGTGTCTTAGCAATTAATATATACTACTTAAACAAGTTAAACGTTCTTCAGTTCAGAAAAGCGCTCAATAGTGGAAAAACTCCTAGAAGTTGCATTTATCAATCTTCTAACACAGCAACTAGCAATTAAGATGCAAATCGTACTTTTTTCCATGCTACTCACCATTTAAGAGTCTATTTCTGTGAGGCAGTTAAGATTTTATGTCAACTTCACCCTGTGTAAAAGTGTAGGCATGGAGCTCAACCTATTAATCAGGTCACAGCCTGATGATGCCTCTTTGGGTAAGGTGACCCGACATCCTGATTTTTGGATAGAATGCACGACAAGCTTGGGTATACGGTTTTCGGCTGCCATGTGGCTATTTCGCCAGAATATGAGTTTTACCAATGGTGTTCCGCTTTGCCAATGTTAAAATCTGGTCACCTTATCTTTGGGGTATGGTCTTTACTATAAGAAAGACAGTGAGAACTTCTTCCTTTCTGGCCCTTTACATTCCTGTTGGCTGGGACTCTCGTGTCTGCCTCTAAGGGTGGCCTCGTGTGGGCCATGTCCCTGGAAGTTTACCTGGAGCTCTGGAATGTTGCCATGTTCCCACCCACCTTGGATTCAACTTGACTCACTGGCTTATCATCTCTCTGCTTCACAACTTTGCATCACTGACCTCCAGCTATGTAAGTCTGAAGAGGGCTCTGACTAGCATCTGGCCCATGGACTCAAGTTGGACTGGGATGGGACGCCTTCTAGATAGAAAATAACTTCTCGATATAATGTTCTTTCTTATACATAGATAAGTGTCACTGGTTTTGTTTCTCTAGCAACCTAGCCTAATACACTGCCTTAAAGTCAAACTGAGGAGAAGTGAAATTATTTGAGAACGAAATAAAATAATTCTAGTGGTCTTCAAATGTTTTTGTTCAAGTTTCTTACAGTACACACTAATGGTGTGAAGGAAGCGCATATCAAAAGCGAGAAGGCTCACTTAAATATATATTAAAATATAGTTTTACTAAAGAAAAAATTCTACAGTTAAAAATCATTTAAAGTGATATAAATCACTTCATCTCTGACTAGTAAATTCTGAATTCTAAGTAAATTTCCTTTCTACTGGAAAATTATAATACCAAGGCTTGATATAGTTGGTCATTTATCAAATATTTGAAAAGGCAATGAAGTAGATATGGTGAAGAGATAAAGATGACAAAGATAAAAAGGCAAGAGAAATTCAGAAGAGAAAAAATGATTTTTTAGTATTTTATTATCATAAATTAATTTTTTGAGTAAGTACTAACACTGTATTATTGACGGGCAAGAACAAAGGCAAAGAAAAGCAAATCCCAACTTAAGTTGTACCACATATCACACTAATTTCTCCACCAAGCAGAAGGCAGAACGCTATTCTCCGACATTATAAGGCTAAAAGGGTTCCTCCCTACCCGCTTTTCTCAGGAATCCACTGTAGATTATGCTCTAGCAAAATGAAAGCGAACAGAAAAAGGATAACAAGTGACAACTAGGAAATAGACTAATATGCTTAAGAGTCCCCTGTGAGAACTATACAACAAGCCTACAGAGCAACCAAGCCAGTCTTGAGCCGAAAGATGGAAAAACAAAACAAAACTGAAGTAATAGATTAGCTAGTGTGATAAGACTATACTTTTTATCATGGTTCACTATGTAAAAAACTCTGTATAAGCTACTGGAAGACAAAGGAATATATCAATAATAAGTACATGGAAAATTAAATGAAAATGTGAGACTCTCACGTATAGGAAAATAATGTATGGCAGAAGAAAGGAAGTGCACTTATAGGGTCATACTTGACTGAGTACTGACTAATATTACAAATTTACATAATTGTAGATACAATTAATTTTATTTTAGAAACGGTGATAGAGTAATGTTTGAGAGATAAAGAGGCAGAATAAGTAGACTGACATGAGAGACGAGTTCTCATTTACCATAGTAGCAAAAAACCCAAGGAATGATAAACTAGAAATCTACAAGTAAAGACCAGGGGAAACAGACAGGAAATTAGAGAATAAAACTGAGTTGCTGAAAGGCGAGTAATATTTCTTTATAAATCTGTTGATAGGACTTTAAAAGATCAAGTACTACTTCTCTAAACATAAAAAGTACTAAAAAATGAAGGTAACTCATCAAAAGTACTAAACCAAGTATAGCCTAATATGTTTCAATTTTTATGCCTTTTGAAGTCTTTAATAAATTACAAACAATATAAAAGGCAATTGAATATATTAAGTATTATAAAAATTAATAATGTAAGTATTAAGAAAAATGAGAGTTTAAAAAAACCTACACACTTTTCCTGTTGCTCTAGATGTATTTATTATATTTAAGGGCAAGTCAAAATGTATTGCTATGAGGATTTTAGTTCATATGTACACAAATTCCAAACCAAACATGCTTAAATATGTTGCTATGTTCAGTGGATAGTTGCAAACTCTCACAATACTACAGCTGTATTATTCTCATTAGCATGCCTTCAAATGTAAAGGGTCCAATCAGAACAGTGGCTTTCACTAAGAGTTGCTGGGCATGTTAAATTCAAGGCAGAGAGGGCAGTGCAGAATGTGTGGTACCTGTATTTTGTGATTCCCAAGGGATACTCTTTTTTAAATCATTCAATCATTTTAAGAAGAGTTATGCAATCATCACCATAATTAATTTCAGAACATTTTCTTCTACATATTTTTATCGGCTCTCCAATTCCCCAGAACCTTTCAAAGAGATACTCTTGATAGATTTTCTCAAAGGACACAGGACAATGATCTAAAAGAACATTTCAAAGGAACATGATTTGACTCCCTCCAGGAAACCAAACTGCTGTGGGTTTTTAATTCATATTTAAAAGTCAAAGAAGCGTGATGTTTTTGTTAATATTTTCATTTCTATACTTTATCAATACTAGCTTCTTGTACAACATATTTTAATGTGCTATAAACTAAAGGGCAGATTCTTGACTAAGAGTTATGGAGAAATACCACATTCGAAGTGTCTAGACCTTCATGGAAGATAATGCTGAGACACAAGAGAAAACTGGAAGAAGGGTTACTAACAACCTACAATATGCAAATAACACAACGTTGGCTTGTTGAAAGCCAAGAAGACTCAACTTACTGATGAAGGTCATGGACCTTCAGGATGGATTATAAGTCAATGTAAAGAAAACCCAAATCTTCCCATGTGGGCGACAACATAATAAAATATGAAGAATAGATTGAAGTTGTCAAAGATTTCATTTTGTTTGGATTCACTATCAATGCTCATACAAGTAGCCATCAAGAAATCAAATGATGTACTACAGTGGGCAAATCTGTTATATAAACACTCTTTAGAGTATTGAAGAATAAAGATGTCATTTTAAAGACTAAGGTGCACCTGACTCAAGCATCTGTTACTTTCAATCACCTCATATGCATGTGGAAATTCGACACTGAATAAGGAAGATGGAAGTCAAATCAATGCATTTGAATTGTAGTCCTGGTGAAGAATATTCAAAGTACCATGGATTGCCAAAAGAACAACAAAAATCTGTCTTGGTGGAAGCATAGTCATAAGGCTTTTTAGAAGGGAAGATGGCAAGACTTTGTCTCACTGTAGACTTGTTAACGGGAGACCAACTTTTGGACTTAGTGCTTGGTAAAGCACAGAGTCGGTGAAAGAAGCAAGATTCTCAATAAGATGGATTGACACAGTGGCTGTAACAATGGGCTGAAACACAACAATTGAGCATGGTGTGGGACTGGGTAGCATTTCTTTGTTGTATATAGGGGGACTATGAGTCAGAACCAACTTGCTGGCACAGAACAGTAACAACATAGATTGAAGTGTGCACCTCCCCCATACCTCAAAATCAGTGTCATCTTGGCTGTGCCATGATTCTCAGTATTATGTGACTATCATCCATTTTGTGATCTAATGTAATTACCCTATGTGTTATAGACACTTCTATGATGTGCATTAGGCAGGATTAAAGGGAATTATGTTAATGAAGCAGAATACAACCCACAGGGTTACATTATATATTAAATCACTGTCTCTCAAGATATAAAAGGGATTAAACAAGCAAGCAGAGATGAGAGGGATCAACTACTACCAACAAAAAGACCGCGGGAGTGGAGCACACTGCTTGAGTCCCTGTACTATGAACCTTCTAAACTCAGGAAAATTGATGCCAAAGACACATGGAGATCGCCATGGAATGTCAAACCTACAGATGTTAAAAGGAGACAAGGACCTTTCCCCAGAGCCCATACAGAGAGAAAGCCTTTTCTAAAGCTGGTGTTCTGAATTATTAAAGTGGAACATGGATTTAAAAATAGGAAATAGAGGATAACATTACCTTCTCCCAAGTATCCAACATATTTATGTAAAAATTTCCTGAATAGGTATTATTTGAGGATATTTACATTTTTTTAAAAATCATTTTATTTGGGGCTCATACAACTGTTATCCCAATCCATACACACATCAATTGTGTAAAGCGCATTTGTACATCGTTTCTCAAAACATTTTCTCTACATTTTAAGCTATCATTTACACAAGCTCTCACAGCTATTATGGAAATTGTTGTATAATTAAATATTTTCAATATAGATATTTTATTAGAAAAACATATAGGTAAATAAAAGTGGGCTTCAAAAGCTTATGGAAAAATGGAATTGAGAGAATAATGAAATATTTCCAGAAATTTTTTGAAGCATGTTCATATGTATTGGATGTCATCACATATTAAAGCTTATAGTAAACTCAGTAAAACATCAATTTAAAATAAAAATTTCTGCTTCATATTGTCATCTTTCATCACATCATCATTTAAGACAGTGGTTATCAATCTGTGGGTCGTGACCCCTTTAGGGATCGAACGACCCTTTCACAGGAGTCGCCCGATTCATAACAGCAGCAAAATTACACTTATGAAGTAGCAATGAAAATAATTTTATGGTGTGGAGGGGTCACCACAACATGAGGAACTGTATTAAAGGGTCGCAGCAGTAGAAAGGTTGAAAACCACTGATTTAAGGGGTAATGCAACTTTCGTAAGTAAAATTGTAATAGAACTCATAAAAGGCACGCTGAAAGAAAACCAACTATAAAACAAATTATTTCCTTGATTTATAGTGTATTTTTCTATGGTAAAACATTAATTCATAATGGAAATTCTGAAAAACATACAAACAAAAAACTGCCTGTATAAATAATTAAGGATTACCATATAGGAATAAAATAATTTACCTGACGTAGAGAGATCGCTTCTGGCTAGTTCGAAGAGAACCTGACCCTGAACTGATGCTACTATTCATCATCTGCTCCCGCAAGTCATGTATTTTAGCTTCAAAACGACTATACTCTGTTGAAAAATAATAGTAATGTTATATTTCATAAATATTTCAAAAAAAGACCAAGCTAAAGTAGTAAGTATCTTTAACTGATTAGTTGTGGTCAGAATCTTAAAA